TCTTCTGCCAGCACCTCAGGCTCTGGTCTCCTGGGGGAGGGCCGAGTGCTGACAGTGCTGGCATTGGAACTGCTCCGCGGACGGAAGGTGCTCCACACATCAGCTTCCTCCCGGTTGCGAGAGCCGGGGCTGCCCGACCACTTGGCGAAGTGGCCAGTGGGGCTCCTCGGAGTGGCGCTTTCCGGTGGAGCTGGCAGCACAGCGGGTTTCTTCTTGGGGGCCTTGCTGCGGCCTCGGAGCAGCTTGCTGCTGCTATCCATGGAGGCTGCCCGGCGGCGGGGCGCCTTGCCGCTCTTGCCTCCCTCGGGGTTCAGCATCCACCACGAACTCTTGCCGGTCGCCTCGTTGTGAACCTTGATGAACTTGCTGTGCAGCGACAGGTTGTGGCGGATCGAGTTCTGGAGGAGCAGAGGCAACAGGAAAGGGGCATGAGATGTATGGAGGGGAGTCAGGGGCCAGCAGTCCAGTCTACAAGGATGCTGGGTGGGACACAGCAGGGACATTCCTGGAGACTCAGAGCTAGTCAAATCCAAGGGGCAGACAGGCCAGGGTAGGAGTGGAGGGTGGTGGTAGGGGAGGAGACCATACACTGTTCCCACCTGAAGACCAGCTGCTTGGTCTCTGCTCCGGACTTCTCTGCACAGGGATCCCAGGAGACAACCCGAGCAACAACCAATTCAGAAGGCACTGCCGCCCCCCCCCCCGAAAACGCTCACAGCACTCTAGTCCTCCCAAGTCTCTAGGGGCTGGCCAGCATCGGGAAGACACACTCCGGGTTCAGCAAGAACTCGGCTCAGATGGAAAAGAGCATTCCACAGCTCCACCCCTTTCCTTGAGCGCCTGCTTGGGTGGAGTTGACAGGACAGTGGCGCAACACCAGCCCAGGACTGACCCACCCTGTCCCGAGCCAGTTTTCTGAAGAGGCTGAGGGGCTGGAACCTCAGCACGGCTGATGCTCCACTCTCCCACTGGGCATTTGGGTCCTGGCTCTCTGTAGGATTTGAAGATTCCTTTTATTCCGATTTCTCTCAGTTTCTGGACGCACACCCTCAACTACATTCAGGCCAGGCTTCTCCTAGTGCCTCGAATACCCAAAACACATTCCTCCAGCCTTCCTGGTCCGGGGAAGGATCTCCCCTCTCTAAAATTCTCCTAGTTCATCAAGACCAAACCGAGCTTAAGTGCCCCATTTTATGAAGTGGTGGCTTGACTCCTGCAGCCAAAATTCTGGTACTGTATTTAAAGCTGTTCCCCTCAAACAGGCCCAATCTATAGTATATTGTTTTTCATTTCCATGGAATTTGCCTTATCAGGTGTAAATGCCAAGACACAGATCACGTTGTCCAGGTGGGCAGCCCCCAGCAGTGCCCCCCTCAGAGTGCCAACCTCCCAGTATATAATCAATATTTGTTGCCTGATTGGTGGGTGGCCCTCAGGTGACAGATGGTGAATCTCCCCTTGAGGCTCCGTCAGCTCTTGAGTGCCTTGGGTATTAGGAGCTGTGTTCTTCCTTCCTCCCTCGCTGCAGATATTCTGCTAGAGATAAGTATTTTTTCCCAGGGGCCCAGGGAGCTGAGATTCGCAGCTTCTTGGGCCCCCAGAGCAGCTTATTTTCACTGGCTGCCTCAGGCTACTTACACCATCCTTTTGTGTCCCGCCCCCCTCCGGCTCCGCCCTCCCCCCTCCGCCAAGAACCTCCCTTCTCTTTCCTACCTCCTTTCCCCTACTTCTCCTCAGGAATTTGTGCAGAGGATCTCCAACCTTAGGGGCATTTGACCTCCCACATGAAGCTCTTTGGTGTTTAGAAACTTGGGAAGAGCCCAGAAGGGCTTGGAGCAGCTAGGAGGCTGAAGCTTTGGACAGTCAGAAATCACTTCATGTGTTTCAGACTGATGCTGGAGATAAGGGGACTCTTTGCCTGGGGAAAGATGCTTAAGTAGCTTCTTGCTCCAGGGCTCTTTAGCTAAAGAACTCCTTGTCTCCCTGGGACCCTGCAGTAATGGCACTCCAACTACTATGGCTGCATTAGTATTTTTGGTTCCTTCAAGGAATCACACTTGTCCATCCAGCCTGAGCTTAGTAACTGAGAACCACAGTGACTTCCGGCACCATGATTTCCCCCCACCCTTTTGCAGCCTCTAACTCTGGGTCTATTGAGAAGGCTCATTCCTTTCCCTACTGCTCAGTACCGGTGAGGCCCATTTGTTCATCCCCTCTTTTTTAGACCTTGGCAACTAGTACGTGGTACAACCTCCTACCTGGAAAGGTCGGCTCCCTAGAAGCCTGTAATTCTTACCTGTTCGAAGAGGGGTGATTGCACACTGTTCCCCTAGCCACCTAAACTAAGCCTTCTTGTTCTATGTGAGTGCCGCCCCCTGGTGGGGTGGTAGTAACCTTGGCCCATCACCAGGGAAGCCAGTTCAGGCTTGAGGCTACCTTGGACCAGGGCAGGGGTGGGGAGTGAGAGGTGAGAGCATTGGAGGCCCCAGACTTGGCCTGATTTGGCTTTGCCATTATTCTATGACAGCATGGATTAACAGAAAGAGCTTAGACCTGAGTTCAAGTTCTCATTCTATTGATCTTGGCAAGTTTCCTAAGCTTTCTAGACCTGAGTCTCCTAATTAATTTGTCAAATGAGGAATCTCGGAATTGCTGTAAAGACTAATAAAATAAAAAAATTAATTACTTTGTAAACAAAAAAAAACCCTATAAGTATAAATTATAAGGAGGGACTACACTCCCACAGCATAACTAACAACTCATGGTTATTTCTTCTACCCTGGAAAATGAACCTAAGGGAAAAGAAAAACAGCTGTGTAGGCTGGGTCCAAGGAGGGGAGCTCTTTATGAGCTGAGACTGTGGCGTGGCAGTCTACCCAGAAATAGTGCCAAGGGTCTCATTCAGCTGTCCCGTTTTCTGTTCTGCCCAACCCCTAGGGATACTGCAGATCTGATCCCTTGATCTCTTACACCTCAGGGAAGACCCTCTGCTCATTTGATCCTCTGTATTTCCTTGCAACCTGATCTCACCACTTACCAGTGTCCAAGACTTCGATAGGAGTTGAAGCACCCCAATTTCGTGATCAGAGCCCCATATTTCTCAGGACAAGTTTCAGAGCATCTAGTGAGATCTCTCCTCACAGTTTCTTCACAGAAGGCCAAGGAACTCCCAACCTTGTGCTCTCCCATCAGAGCCCTATCTTTTTTTTCACAAATATTCCTCAACAGCGAGTGAAAACTTCCCCCCACAACTTAGAGAGCCCCTTACTAGGGAGATATTCTTGGCATTATATAGGGTAAACTGAGGCAGGCAGTCGCTCACAGCCCCCCACACCCTGTTTTTTCTCAGTGCGCAAGATCAGCTACCTTACCCCCTGGGTATCGCTCTTTTTACCTTTTGCCACTCCACTCCATCTTCTTGGGTAGCAGAGTTCTAGAATAGTACTTCTACCCTGAGGTATTGAGAGGCAAGCAGGGAATCCAAGTAACCCCACAGGAATGGGAGAAAAGGTGTTGGGGTGGGAGGTGGGGGAGGAGGGAAGGCTAGGTTCCTGCAGGGAATCCACACAGTTCCTGCTGTACATAGGATAAAGACTTCTCTGTGGGGATAAGTGTTTGGGGCAGCCCAAGCCAAAGTACTGGGAGTGTTGAGCAGTGAGCAGAGAATTCAATTTTCTTCAGGGCAAGGACAGTGTCTTATTCATTTATGATCCTCCAGCATCAAGCACCGGGCATGGAATATACTATGGACTAAGTAAATGTTTGTCTAATTCACGACTGAAGGTGGATCTCTGGGGTGGGGGTGTGAAAGGAGTAGCAGTAAGGAGACTGGGGGGCCCAGGGGCAAACGGGTATTGGGACGGAGGTAAGGGGGGTCATAGTTACCTTCCATCCTGCGGAGCTGTTGCTGTCACCCTTGTCCTTGAAGTAGGGCACAGTGCGGACCATCCACTCATAGATCTGGGCGAGTGTCAGTCGCTTCTCGGGGGCGCTTTCAATGGCCTGGCTGATGAGTTCTGCATATGACTGATTTCCCCAGGCATTCCGGCGGGAGCCTCCCTTCCGAGGACCTGTTACAGCCCCCAGGATCCCGGGCTGGGGGCCCCCTGCCGGGTCTGGGAGCCGGGAGGGCAACAGGGTCGGCTCGGAGCGCCCCTCCGAGCGCCCCTCCGTGTGTACCTTCTCTCCCAGACCTGACTCCACCTCGGGCGACTCGGATGGCTCGGGAGCGAGCTCTGGTCGGGGAAGGGGCCAGGTGCAGGAGCGGGGACGGCTCTGGGGTTCGAAGTCGGGATCGAGGTCTACGATCGCGGCAGCCTCTGTGGCTGAATTCTCATTCCCTGGATCCATACGTGGAGTTGGACCTCCGGCGCTCAGCGTTCAGAGGAGCCTGCCACCGTACCTCGCGATGCCTCCCCCCAGGGGGGAAGCACCGAGGGCCAGGAGGCACATTCCTACCAGTCCTCAGAAAGTCTCGAACTTCCCCCTCGCCCCAGGACGCTAGCCCTTAAGCTGTCCCTTCCACACAGTTCTCTGATCCTCTTCTCCACTACTGCCTGCAGCCTCGGAGCTTTCCGAGACACCACCTGTAACCTCCGCCTAGCGAAGACACTTTTTCCCCAACCTCTCACTCAGCTTCCTGCTCTTTTAAACCTAAGGCACACATCGCGCTCCCATCACCGAACGTCTCCTTAGCCACAGTTCCCTCCCCCTTTTAAGTTGCTGCCCCCCGGACACTCCTCCCAAATTTCCTCCACCCGGATCACTGCCCTCCCCCACGCCCCGCTCCCCCGCGTCACTTGCCCCTCCCCTGCTTCCCCCTCCCTTCGCCTCTTCCCTCCCTCCGACTCTCAACCGGGTCCAAGTCCCCGCCGCCTCGGCCTCTCGAATTCCCGCACCGATCCCCCTACTCAACCCCCCCCACCCCCCGCCCCCGGGTTTCCCTTTTGTTTTGCTCCAAGCAGCGGCCCCCGCCTGACGTCTCTGTTTACCACTCGCCGGGGCAGCCATCTGCGCACGCGCCTGGAGAGCCGGTTGGGAAACCGAGTTCTTCAGCCGTGCCACCCTGGTCGGGTTTGAGGACTACATTTCCCGTCCTACTTCGCTGCCAGGAGCCCGATAAGGGAGGCAGGAGAGCGGCGTGGCAGGATATAGAGAGGTGGCACTTTAATCCTTAGAGGTCGTCGCGGACTTTTTCTTTTCTTTAAAAATCATTTTCCTCCTCTTACCCCCTTCCCACCTCCTCCCTTGTGATTAGGGGTCGCCTGGATGACCGCGTTGAGAGATGCTACACCTTTCCCTCTTTCAGGCAGAAGAGGGCAAAAGGAAAAAAAATGCGATCTCTGCAAGAAACAGAAAACCGAGAAGCGAGAAGCAAGGAACTGGACTAGAAAATAGGCTGTATGCATGTTGAGGAGTTGGGTGGAGGGCTTGGGGAACATAAACAAATGGTTGTTTGATGATAGGGTCTCCCCCGCCGCCCTCAACTCCCCACACGCAGTTCCCACTGATACGAGGTTGCTGACCAATCTGTTTTCCCCACTGGCTCTTCTGGCCTCTCCTTAAAATATTGATACTCTCCAGGTTCCCATCTTCGGCGGCTTCACTTCTCATTCAACAGGTTCCAAACAGGACTCATTATCTGTTCCTGCACCCACACCCCTATCCTCTGGACACTCTTATCTCTGAATTTGGTTAATGGTTGTCCTAACCTACCCAGTCTCCTAAACTAGACTTACTCTTCATCTTTTCATCTCCTGAACCTTCCACATCGAAATCCCGGTTCAAGATCTTAATTTATCAGACGCAGCAGCGTCTTAATTGGACCTCACACCAAGAATCTTTTCCCAGCTGCTGTTTACATTCTGTGCCGCCAACAAAGTAACCTTTCTAAGAAACACTCCCGGTAATAACAAATTTATGAAGCACTTACTATGTGCCAGGTGCTGTGCTGATTGCTTTACAGGCATTAGCTCATTTACTCCTCCAATCAACCCTGTGAGGTAGGTACCACTGTTGTCCCCATTGTACAGAAGACACTAATGCTCAGAGACTTAGTGACTTGCCCAAAGCCACACAACTAGGAGGCAGGAGACCTGGGATATCACTTACATGTGATCATAGCATTTACCTGCTTAAAACTTCATTTAATTTTCCCCACTGCCTGTGTGATAAAGTTCAAACTTAGCAAGGCTTACAGGTCTCTTCAGGTTCAGGCCACTTCCCATCTTTCCTGCGTCCTCTTTCACTTGGCACGTTAAGTTCTGACCATTCCGAGTTTCACACTATTTCCTGGAAATACCATACATACCCTTGTATGTATGGTATTTCCTCATCCTGGGATGTCCTCCCTCTCATCATCCCCTCCCCAAGTCTCTTATTCTGGAAAATTCCTATTCAGCCTTCCCTGTCTTGCTCAGGTACAGTTAGTTCTCCGTTTCCTGCATTCCCAGGCATTTTGTGCAGGCTTACGTTATATAGCATAAACCATATTGTATTGTAATTATTTGCTTAGGTGTATGTCTCTTCCACTGACCTGTGAACTCCTTGAAGGCAGAGACAAGTTGTATATATCTCTGTGACCCCACATAGTAGACATTCAGTAAATGCCAGTCGAATAAATGGGGATCAGGAATCGAGTGACATTGCACTTGTACATTTGACAACTTTTAAATATCGTATTTATTTTCTGCCTGGCCATGTCCCGTTTTTCCTGTTAGACAGCAAGCTCCTAGGGGGAGGGACTAGAATTTAACTAGTCTGTATAGAGCCTAGTGTTGTACCATTGACGGCATTGCTTGATATGTACTCTGTGATGACCAGGCCTTCCTCCTATCCATACAACCTGGGATTTTTTCAGAGGTGCCAGCACATTGAGCTTCAAAGTGATATTAGTCTCCTCATGGTAACATAACCATCTTGGATCTATGTATTCCTGCCTCCTTCTGCTCCATTTGCACCCTACTAGCAGTTCCATGCATTTGTCACATAGACGGTAAAAAGAAGACTGTGTATTCCTACCTGAGGTCCAGACTAGAGAGATGGGAGATAGTTGCTCACAACGTCTGCAAACAGGTCCTGCCTATGTGTCTTCCAGCACAGCCTGGAGTACTTGCTAAGTGCTGCCTGAGCAGTGAATTTGGTAGAGAGCGCCTGGTGGGCACTAGGTTGCAAGGAGCTCGCTTCTAAATGAAACAGGTGTGGTGGCAGATCACGCAGAGCTGCTGAGACAGGGAAATGGCAGGGCGGGGCAGGCACCTGTCTTGGCTTGAGTTATATCTTGCATTGTCTCCCTTTGTGCATTTGTTTGAAAAGGTCCACCTCTCCACCAACTCATGTCCATCACTTTAAATTTCCCAAAGCTCAAAACTTACCTGCTCTATGCTCTTGGAAACTTTCCCCAACTAGCCCAACCTGACGGATCACTTAACAACACTGCATCTCCTGAACCTCTCTGAGCTCAGTTTGTATTCTTTAACTTTGTGCTTGTGGTTACATGGCTTTTCATTTCACAAGCGTGTATTGTCTCCCCAACTAGGCGATAAACTCTGTGATCAATCCATAAATGCTTATTGAGCCTTTACTGTTAAGATGAGAATATACTGGGTGGGAGGGTATAGCTCAGTGGCAGAGCGTGTGCTTAACATGCATGCACTGTGAGGGTTCAATCCCCAGTGCCTCCATTAAAAAAAAAAGATGAGAGTACACCTTGGAACTCTGGACAGATAAAAATGACCATAGACCATAGGACCAGATGATTTAGGAGGGTGAGCTGAAGGAGTGGTGGAATGGCAAGGACACGACGACTTCAACGCATGAGAGAGGTCAGAGCTATGCAGCTTATTACTGTGGCGGTGTTAGAATATACATTAGCCAAGAGACAGAGTTAGTAGGGTGGCCTTGGAGCATAGAAGACACATCGATCATGGAAGAGGACCAACAGCAGGACCCCGGAAAACTGATGGAGTCACAAATCACAAAGAGATACGGCAGGATATGGGGAGGGGGGCACAGCCCTTTTCCCCAGTTGCAACCCCAGAGTTTATGGTCTCAACTCGCTCCGCATTCCCAGTGTTTTCTTTTTCCTCTTGAAGGTCATAGGGGTTTGGCCCTCTTGCCTCTTTCACTACAACCGCCCACTCTTCTTCAAACTGGGTGCCACCCCCCAAGCCGGCTGCCAAACCGGCTTTATTCATTTGAATTGAGATAGACATTTCCCTACTTCTTTCTTACCCTGCCCAGCTCTGAAAAAACACCCCCTTCCACCTAGGGTTTGAATAGGAATTTTGCTAGTAACCACAGAGAAAGACGCAGGGGTTAACAAAAACAACGATGAGCAAGTTCAAGGAATCTCAGAAAACACCACCTCTGCTTGTCCTTGGTCTTCACAGATGTGTATGGAACATACATATTTGTGTAGCCTTCTTCCCTAAGTCCTTCTTTATGTGTTTCCGTGAAAGATTTCTTGTTCTTCTCTTAGAAGCCAGCAGCACCTCCCAACCCTGTCGTTGTTTTTGAAAATATTTTCAGTTAATAAACATTTCGTAAGAGTCTACTTTTCCAGACACCAGGCTACGTGCTTTTACATAAAGTACACCCCAGACTAAAGTCCTCAGATTTAGCCCCAAGTAGATCTGATTTGGCACCACTACTAATTTCGAGGCAGCTAGTCAGTCCTCTCTGGACCCTGGAAGTCAGCCCGATATAGTGAAAAGAGCACTAGATTGAGTCAGGAGAGCTGAGTCCTTGTCATAGCTCTGTCACTAACTAGATGAACAGTGATAATAATTACCCTACTATTAATAAGTAACACCAATTGACTTTTCATTGTGTCTTAGGCACTGTGCTAATGCTTTACACGGATTAGCTGATTTAATCCACATAATAAGCATGTAAATTAAATGCTATTACTATTTTCATTTCACGGAGGAAAATGAGACTTAGAGAGAGGGTAAAGGGACCTACTTAAGGTCCAGAGTTACTAAGTGGTAGAACAGAGTTACAGATCCAGGCAGTCTGACTCCAGAACCTACACAAATCAATTTGCCTCTTTGGCTTTGGTTTCTTCAGTTGTAAAATGGGAATGCGGTTTTATATGACCTCTACAGTCTCTCCTAGGTCTAAAATCCTACTTTCTGTGATCTTCAATATGGGTACGAGACCCAGATTGCCCTTTTGGCTTGAGACTGCCCTGAGCTCACACTTCACACTCACACAAATTCGGCCCTGGCCCCCGGCAGGAATAAGGTCCACAAAGCCTCATCTCTCAGGTTTCAGGCTCTCTGAACTGACCTTTGAGCTTTCTCATTAACCATTCTTGAAGGCCTCTATGGTTCCAACCTTCGAAAGTCCTACCAGCATGCTATTTACTAGACTTATTACCAGAAGAGTTTCCAATACACAAAAAGATGCTTGTATTTTAAAGTTCCATGAAAAGATGGAACTTTACACACTCTGCTCGTAATTTTGTTCAGAATACATTGAGAAAAAAATAGGAAAACATGCCAAAAAGTGTTAACAGTGGTTCTTTTTTCATTTTACTTTCTTATATTTTTCCAATTTACTGTGACTGCGTGTAACTTTTAAACTGGGTTGGGGCGGGGAGTGCTTTCTGTTTTGCCTTGTTCTATAAGGGATTTGAGGCACTTTACCAGAAAAAAACAGTACAAATGTCATAAGATTATAGAAGTAGAACATCAGAGGCGTGTAGAGGAAGAAGAAGCTAATGTGCAATGACTGAACATTAAATTAATCTTCTGGGCCGCCCAGGGGAAAGGGGAAAACACAGTAAGTTACACAATTCTTCTTATCAGGAAGAAAGGCACGTGGCAATTCCTCAACGAAAGATAGAGATTTTCGTCACTAAATTCTTTTTTCCCTAACTTGAAAAGACAGGCTA